ATCAAGGATCAGGTCAGAACTTTACGTGTAACACGACAAGTGTTGGAAGTGACACGTTAATATATAATCATAAGATTGCAATCAAATCAACTTCCACAGTGATGCGTGAAGGAGAGGAGTGGACGTGTACAGCTTGGTCACCATGAATATCTGGATAAATTGTGCAATGAACACACAAAACTAAAATAAAATGTGAATTAACACAGTAGCAAAACAAACTTTTTTTTTGTGGGTAAAATGATATATTTTTGCATGTTTTTATTGAGAACAGTAACATTTAAATAATATTGCATTTTATATCTGGATATTTAAATTAATACTGTGGTTAAAAAACACAATAAAATTTTAATAATTTTGCCTTTACAACCATAATATCAATTACATTTTTATGTACAAGTTTTTTTTAAAAAAATCCACAATTGTGAGGACGCGACACGTAACTACCACGTGGTTAAGTCATATTCTACGCAGCGGCAATAAATCAAAGAAAATAATGACCCTTTTAGCTTCTTGTCTCGTTTTCACTTCCCTATTTGCAGCCAAAGTATGACTTCCAAGCCAACCACAAAACAGCAAGTTGAAGATGTTGTAGAGAGAGAAGACCATAAGGTCATTTTTGTCGAGACATACGATGAAAATGGTCACCACAACACTAAAGACTTAACATCAACGACAAGATGTTGCAGGTGTCAAGTCTAAATCACCTGGCTTGGTTGAGAAAGCAAAAGAGAAGACGAAAGAAGCAAATGATCATGCTCGTCCAAATATTGGCGAAGGCATTTCTCATGGTTCTGAGGGTGAGAAACACTACCCTTGAGAGCTTCTCTGTGATGTGCTTGGCAAATGTACACACATGATCATGGCTAAATTAAGTTCTACGTACAATAGGCCACAAACAAGGTTTCTGAGGTTATTATATATGATGTGGTGGATAAGAAGAAAGAAATGGATCATGAGATCAAGAGGAGTTAGTGAAAGGTTTATACTGGAAACAGAAAGAGATGGTTCATGGGACAGACAAAGTCGAGGATATGGCTCAATGTGAATCTAGATATTAATTAATAGAGTTCATACTTTATAAAACCTAGCAAGATGATAAAAAAAAATAAAAATGAAAATGAAACATCCATCACTTCCATTGCAGAGACCAGGGTCGCCAGATTTAAGCCCTTAGTATGGACAGTAGAAATTGAAGCCCAGCCACCATGACGCTATGACACTGGCACATACTATAATCGCTCGAAGTAATTACAAGTGCATTACCATCATAAATATATATTTTTTTTTGATCTGTCGGATAGTATGTAATTACTGTTTAGTCACCCAGCTAATTTCTTAAACATTGGTTAAGAAAAATCTCTAGATTAGCATTGGAAAAGAATCAGTTCTGAAAGTTTTCTACTATATATAAAAGCTCATACGTATTCTTTTGTTCTTCTCGTGTATAAGAATGCATAGTTTTTCTCAAATGAGATCAAAGCCCAGAGCGAGCAAACTAGGTGCGTACAAAAGACATTAATATTGTCCTCAAAGTCTTGAAATGAGGAATTAATTTTGAAGATTTTCCAGGGTTAGTGCGGCCGCGTTAGCAACAGCATAGAAATTCTTCCAGTTCTTAATTGCAGCAGGAA